CTCCACTACCTTTTAGGACACTCTTCATCAGCCAGTGCACCAATAGCACATAATCTACATATTCAGATTAATTTTCGGGCAGTCATCAGTGTTCATAACATGGTGCAAAGACATGTGAAACAGGAGGAAGAGGAGTTATAAGATGACATCTCGAGGGGAACTCACTGAATACCCTTTGAGCTGCACTTCTCCCAGGAGGTGCTCAGCTCTAGTATGCCACAAGGCCTGTCTATCTCTGCACTGACTCTGCATCCTGGCAGGCTGTAGCTGAGGCAGGGAACACTTCAGGAGCCTACTCCTCCCTGCAGGCTTGGTAATAAGTTCTGATGCTGGAGGTGTGTGGGAGTGTGTTGTGGGGGAATCTCTCCTGCCATGCAAACTGATTTTGAAGCAAACAAAACACTACGCAAAGAAGATGACAGACATCCATCCAAACCTCCTATTCTGCCCAGCTCTGAGATGTGTTATACTCCCTTGTGCTGGCCTATTTTATCATCTAATGCAGATGCCTACTCTCCTTGCCAGCATTTTTGCAGCTTCTGGATAGGTTCAACTGAATAGTGGTGTCATCATTTAATTTGAACTTTCTGACCCATGACTAATTGTACCTTGTTTTCAACAGTTTAGAGAATATGGTGAAGTTCTTCCTTAATCTTCCTAGAAACCTTCAAGGAACATGTACATAAATATCTGAGGGGTGGGTGTCAAGAGGAAGGTGACAATCTCTTTTCAGTGATGCCCAGTAACAGAACCAGAAATAATGGGTTCAAGTTAGAACATAGGAAGTTCCATCTCAACATACAGAGGAACTTCTTTACTGTGAGGGTGACAGAGCACTGGAACAGGCTGCTCAGAGAGGTTGTGGAGTCTTCTTCTCTGAGGACTTTCAAAACCTGCCTGGATGCGTTCCTGTGTGGCTGCCCTAGGGGATCCTGCTCTGGCACGCGGGTTAGACTAGAGGTCCCTTCCAATCAATTAGTGCACTTTTGTACTCTGATATGTTGCAAACCGCATCCATAGACAGAATTTCAAGAAAAAAAATCCCAACAGTAAAGAACAACCCCAGTTTTGGCATCTGAAACAGATTTCCAACCCCTACCCTCAGCTCCCTCATGCTTCCCTTGGGCTGTCTGAAAAATAACAGATGCAAATCGGTTAATTTTGAAAGCACAGCATTTCCTTCACAGCTGATGCAGTGTGAAAATGCATCTGAGGCCCAGCAGACATACCCATGAGCAAGTCAGCTCTGAGCTTTGCCAAGAATGATACATTTCACCCTATTCTACTGTAAAGAGAAAACCAGACAACCACCTACTGGCTGCATCACAGAGCAGAGAAGCTCTCATTTCTCCAGACTGCAGAATACCAATTAAACACATCTCAAACCATCAATTCCTAGTAGGAGCTTAATGCACTGCAAAGTTAGCTTGCTTCTTTCCCCAGAAGCATGCTCTTCCACCCATCTCCCTCCTCCCATGAGGTGGAGCAATTTCTTTCCTTTGCTTTGTTTCTGCGGCTGGCAAGTCAGATCTGAAGTAAAATCAGGCTGCTATCTGATAAGCTTTTGATGAAATTCAAAGCATTGCATTTCTTGATTTATTTAGCATTCAAACATCCCTTGCTTCTTCAGTTCTGCACCTCAGCCTCTGGCATTTTCAGAGTGCAACTGCTTTTTCTAGGACAGCTGCAAAAAAGACCTTAAAAAATACCCTAAGAAAAGACCTTGTGCTAGGTTCAGATATGCCTCTGGTAAAAGGACAGTCTGTCTCCAAATGACACTTTTGGGCTGCATATCTGTATTCCTTTAGCAATTTGCATGTCATGCTTATGTACTTAACTTGCCCAGATACATGCTGGCTTTTTGTCTGCTTGTCTTTCCTATGGTTATTGCTATGAGCATTTCCAGCTGAGGTTATAAAGCTTGGGTAGCTTTTTGTTTGTTCCAAGTATCATCACTAAAAGCAAGTAGAAGAAAACAGCTCATTTCGGCCAGTGCAATATTTGCCACCAGACATTAAAGAAGTGAGCAGACACAGGGAAATGAAATTAGCTTTCATGTGTTCCTCTCAAACATCTTGTATAATTCAACCACAGAAACCTGAGAATAATTAATCCTAAGACCTCTTGTCTAGATTGCGCAACTATGGCGTAAAGGAGATATAAAAGAAAAAATCAGTGAGTTTCTCTTTGCTCAACCCATATCACAATGGCCACATACCACTGGGAATTAAAAAACGCTTTCACTTCAGTGACATGATGTCCACCCAGCAGATTTCCCCTGTGATCCCTGAAAGAGTGAAATGCCAACTGCTGTGCCATCCTTCACTACCCAGCAAATAATCTATGCGACTCTACAGAACTGCTAAGGAAATGTAGCTATCTAGACATGGTGTTTACAAAGAAATACAATTTGCAGTGGCCCACTGGTCTTTCATAGTTGTTAGAGCCCACAGAGAGTAACAGGGAGGAGGAGGGCAAGCTAATATGGTGCTGGTTTTGATCCCCATGTCTAGCAGCTGGACTTGTTATAAGGAATGCTAATCCAGATGTGCAGTTTCAACTTGTGTTATGAGCCTCCTGCAGCCCCTGCACACCATGACCATCTGCTACACAATATGTCAAAATAATCACACAGACACTGTCAAAATAAAGGCAGAAGAACCTTTGCTGGGGCATTATCTTCTTGACTTTATCTGAGTAACTGGCTACTGTCCAAATACTGGGAAGCACCAAATGTTGTTAATTTACCATGAAAACAGGATCAACACCTAAAAGATACATTAATGTTTAAAATATGAATTAGTCAGTTTTTTCTTCCCTCTGGTAGACCTGCAGTAAGCATAGGGTTGCAATGTCAAGTTTTGGTCCAATTTATTACTTTTTTTCTGAGATAGGTTTGCATTAGGCAAACTTCACTGCTCTGTATGTTTCACTATGAATTCCACAGCTCATATATGTATCTGATCTGGAAACACTGTGCATCCTAGCTTTCAGGAATGTCTTGTTTTCAGGACAGCTAAATGAGGGAACATGTTACTTACCCTGAGGTCCTCTCCCTGAAGGTAGCTGAGAAGTGAACCTTTCATAAAGCACTCACATTGTCACTTGTGTAACAGCAATTTGAGGGAAGTAAAAGGGATGTGGAGGCACTGGGTGTTTTTGTCATGGAATTGTGTCCAGAATCAATATGAAATGTGCAGGTACATTTTAGAAAAATTAAATCAATATAATTTTTTACACCTGCAAGGATTAGTTATTCATATTTTTAGCATAAATGTTAGTAAGCCATATTATTTTTCCTGATTCAGCCTCTTTGTTTCTAAATAAATAGGATTTCCTTCAAGTTATAAATGGTTTTATAACTATTTAAACATTTATAGAATGGACCGCTTCATCTTGTAAGCTAGAACAATCGAGAGACAAATTGCTTGGACATAATTTTGGTTTTCAGTGCCATCTGTGCTACCATTTCTGCACTGCCCAAAAATGAGAGAAGACTATTCCAGCTCCCACCATAGCTCTTCTTGATAGGGTATGAAGCAGAGACTCTTCAGAGGAAGGTATAAACACCATACCTCAGGAAGATTTATAGTACTTCCTGTCAGATCTTACCTCAGTCCCCAAAAGCTTCTGCTTAGAATAAAAGCCTCCATCTTTACTGCGACGAGCAGGTTGAGGGAGGTGATTCTCCCGCCTCTACTCCACTCTCGTGAGACCCTACGCATAGTTCTGTGTCCAGCTCTGGGGCCCCCAACATAAGATGGATGTGAACCTGTTGGAGCATGTCCAGAGGAGGGCCGTGAAGATGATCAGGGGGTTGGAACACCTCCCCTGTGAGGACAGGCTAAGAGATTGGGCTTGTTCAGCCTGGAGAAGAGAAGGCTCTGGGGAGACCTTACAGCAGCCTTCTAGTACCTGAGGGGAGCTACAGGAAAGAAGGGAAGGAGCTTTTCATCAGAAAGTGTAGTGATAGTTTAAGGGGTACTGGCTTTAAAGTGAAAAAGGGTAAATTTAGATTAGATATTAGGAAGAAATTCTTTATGCTGAGGGTGGTGGATGTACTGGAACAGTACAGGTTGCCCAGAGAAGTTGTGGATGCCTCATCCCTGAAGTGTTCAAGGCCAGGCTGGATGGAGCTTTGAGCAACCTGGTCTAGTGGGAGGTGTCCCTGCCCATGGCAGGGGAGGTGGAAGTAGATGATCTTCAAGGTCCCTTCCAATCCAAACCATCCTGTTATTCTATGATTTTTCTACCCTGCACACATGCTCAGTCCTTCGCTGAAAGCAATCGTCGTGAAAATGTGCTTCACTGCATAACTCTGGCAAATATGAAATGATCCCTTTTTTTCAGCTTTTAATTGCATCAGCATGTCCCTGAATTCTTATTCTTTCAGACAGTGAGAACAGAAAATCCTGATCTGCCTTTTTATACATTCACCTTTTCTTATATTACATACATTCTTCAGTTTATACAGTTTAAGCCCTCTTAGAGCAGGAAAAACACTTAAGTCTAATATCTGTTCCCTCCCATCATCTTTAACCTGGCGTCAATTTACGAGGTTGAAGGCTGCAACCCTTATTAACATCACCCAACGCAATGCACATGTACGTAAAATGACACAGGAAAAAGTCATGGTGCTGTGCAATCCTGATAACATCTCTCTAGGTTGAATTTGAATTTGCTTGAATTAAAACAAACCTCACTGATTTGCTGTATTGATGAAGAATTTAGCTGAAATTCAGGCTAAAATGTATCTATGGCATGGAGTGCAAACACTTGTTGGAAAATTTTCAGCTGATCTCAGTGAGGCACTGTTAGTTTTCAGGCAACAAAACACCTTCTGAAGATTGTCCTGGCCCTTGCCATTGAACATCACTTAACCAACCAATACATAGGGACAACAGAAGCAGCATTTGCTGCCTCCCATCCCATACCTATATCAAAGGTGCAAACACATGACTAAATCACACGTGGATGAACATAAAGAGTGAAAACCTTACCTGCCCTCCTTTAGGCTGGTATTTGATGTTATCTGTTGATCCGATTTTGGACCTGACATTCTTGAGGTCAGGTAAAGGCTGATTAATAACTCGTAGCTGCTTCGGAGTGGCTGGAGATTTAGGAGGAGTGCGAATTATGGCAACTTTTTTCTCAGTAGGTACCAGTATGGCAGATTTGGGGGTCCCAGGAGTGTGGGGGGTTCTGGAGTAGCTGGGTGTCCCTGGAGTGCCAGGGGTACGGGAGGCATAGCTTGGTGGTGTCCCTGGAGTGATGGCAGTGGAGCCAGGAGTAGTGGGCGTAGAAGTTCCACTTTTTCCTGATCTGCTACGAATTGGCTCTGATCCTACATGCAAGAAAAAACCACAGCATTGGAGTCACGGAAATACAGCTCTTCTTCCCTCTGTACCTCCCAGGACTGCATTCCTGTGTGCCAAGAAACGATTGCACTAATGCTGAAACAGCAGACTGCATGTCTGTCTCTGTGTCTTTCTTTGTTTATCAACCTGCCAGGAGTTACCTTGTCATGTGTGGTTGAGCTGGTAAATTGCCCAAGTGGTGACTGAGCTCTCTTCTGTGACACAGGTGTGCTTCCCACATCTATGCTTCTTGCAAAGCTCGTGAAACAAAGCACAAAATCACGCTGATTCCCATTTTGGGGAAAGGACAAGAAGCACCCTTGGAATCTAACCTTTGGGACTTGATCTGACAACCTGATGAGTTAAGAAGAACGTTGTCACCAATTTTAATGGATTTGGGCATTAAACTACAGAGTGGGAAAATTTGTGACCATAATCCTGAAAACAAAGGCTCTGAGTGTCTGGCTGCTGCTGGCCACATACCACGGCTGGTAATCTGGTGTCTGCAGCTGAACTCTGGGTGAGCACTGAGCTGAGGAGCAAGTCACAGCTCTACGGATGGGCAGGTGTCCCTCACATTCAACTGCTGTTTTGCATTAGTGCAGTGAAAGAAAGCAGTTACAGAAGGCAACCTTGATTAAGAGTCACATTCTAGTCACATCTGTGTACAAGTTAAAGATAAATAAATACACTAACATTTTGTAGCAGTGCCCTTCGGTGTTTATGGCACTGCCAGTCCTTTTCACTGAGTGCAAGAATCGGTTTAGTAGTGGCACTGTGTCTTCGGCAGCCGGCTCTGCTTGTAACTCTTGACCACAAATAAACAGAAGCCGAGATATCTCGACATGCTGCTTAAAGCAAAGTTTCACTGAGAATACTCAGAAAGACCAAACCAACCTCCAAGTCTGGGAACCCCAGTGCTGAATGGGTGTGCAGATGTTTTCAACTTTAAAATGTTTAGGAATTATAAATCCAATGGGCCTCCCTAAAGCATCTATTTATTAAATAAATCAAAATCTTATTTTAAGTATTTGTTAATCATTCTGTTTATGTAATGGTGGTGGACCAAACCCAACACACTGCTGCCCTTGGGGTCTGGGAGAAACTCTTCACTCTGTGTGACTCTTTAGATAGATCGAACATACTCGACTCCCACCTCTGGTTTCCCCAAATGGTTTGTTTCTTTCCAAAAACCCCTGAACTAGAACCTTCTCACTATACCAACTGAGACAAAAAAGGAATGCTTTTTCCCCCATCTCCCTGCAGCTTTGGTATATTTATTTTTCATTCCTCAGTCCTTCACCACATGGGCAAATGCTCAATGGCATCTCACTCCTAGTCAGCAGAATGGGCTGCTGTGCCAGCTGGGGGTCACTCTGCTTACAGAGGGTCTCTGTTTTATCCTTGGAGCATCATACGAGAATTTCAAAGGACTTTTTTTTTTGTGGGGGATTTAATCATCTACTTCCCTTAAGCCGTCTTAAAAGGGTCTGAGATTGGTTCCTAAAGAGAGAAACCAGAGGAATTCCTACTGGAAAGCAAGAAGCTACATCCAGGTTCTAACACCTGGGCTGAGTGCAAATCTAGCTAAAAGTTCTGGCTGGGGGCATTTGGTAAAATTCTTTTTGTCCTTTAATTTATTTTGGCTTGCCATTTGATAACACTAGTCCTCATAAAAGGACCTTGCTGGTTAACTATTCTGACTTCTCCCAGTGAGTCACTTCACTAGATAACTTAATCACAGAATCACAGAATTGTCTGGGTTGGAAGGGACCTGAAAGATCATTGAGTTCCAACCCCCCTGCCATGGGCAGGGACATCACCCACTAGATCAGGTTGCTCAGAGCTGCATCCATCCTGGCCTTAAAAACTTCGAGGGATGGCAGTTTTTACACCAGGATTAGGGCACAAGGAGATCATTACCGTGTAACAGCAAATTAATAACTATTAGGTTCACTTCTCCAAGATACAACAGAATATTTTATGTTGCCTACTTCTGTTTGTCTCATTTTTCTTCCTGCTATTTGTAAATGCTCTGTGTTAAACATCTTATACCTGGCTCTGAGCTCCTTGCAAAGGCACTTCCTCATATCAGCAATGATCTGAACTGCAGCTCTAGCTTTGGGGTATGGAAAGGGCATATCCTGTTCCTGGTTTCAAGCCCTTGCTGCTCAGCACTTGGTATCTGAACAAAAACTGTCTGTGGGGCTCTGATTTCCAGCAGCGTGCCCCAGAGCTGCCCCTCTGTGTAAAAGGTAAGGACCCACGATATGACAAATCTACCAAGGATGGGAGACACCTACAGCAGCAGGAGAGGGTTAATACACAAAACACATACGGGTGGTCCGTCGTACTGAAGAGGAAAGAGAAGCTGTGAGGGAGAGAGAATTCTCCTCTCTGTCTCGGTCTCCTGATACACCTCTTCGAGGAGGGAGGATAGAGGAAGGTCTCGGTAGAGAGGAACGCTTTTCGGGACTCTTGCTTACTCCATCCTAATAGCAAAATAAAGAAGGAAGGATTAGATTTCAAAACTCACTCTCAACCTATATGCAGGGGGGCAGACCTAATCCTATGGGCCCTGTTTACTACTGACACAGGAGCCTGTGGGGATCCAGCCACCTCCCATGCTCTGCTTAGCTCCCTGGTTCTTTTACACTGCATCAAAATACCCAGTAGTTGCCTTCTGAGCTACTTAAGACACTCTTGGATCTAAATATGGATGGATTCCACATTTGGTTTTTAATAAAGAACAAGTGTTTTAGTGCAAATTGAAAGTAAAAGAATTCTCTGGAGCTCAGGTGTGAAAATCTTATGTGAATTTAGCTGCAAAGTAACTGCAATACTGGTGCCCAGAATAAACCCCACATTATATTGTTGGGTGATGAGTGATTTTTGCATTTTCAAACACTAACTAGTAATTTGTTTACAGAGAAAAATTTTTAGCTACAGCTTATTTTTTTTTGACAAGGACTGTTAATCCTCATGTCCTATTTCCTTCCATACTTATCTTTTTACTTTTTGAAATCAGCACATACCTTCTTTTTACCGTGGTTAGAGCAATGGACACATATGTTAGAATATTTTTGAACCTATGCGACGGGCAGACAAAGACAGTTTTGCATAAGCAGACAGTCCTCCCAAAGACAAATATGATAATGGTCCCAACCAGCAAAAGACACACCAAGCATAGCATTACACAGAAATGGAAGTCAATAGTGAAACCAGTTTTTATATGGGGATAGTCATCATTTCAGCATCAAGTGCATTTGAAACACAAGTGAAGTGCAAAAATGGAGAAGCTAGGATAGACTACCAAACGTCTCTTTAAATTTGTACTGCAGCTTCTTCAATGTGTCCCATGCATAGACTTAGAACATTTGGCTTCCACCCTTATTGCTGTTGATTAGAACTATACTCTCCTACACTGGGGACTGTATTTGTTTTCAGAGAATATTAACTGGTTGAAAACTACATTTTTTAAACTTAGAAGGTGAATTAATACTGCTGTTCTTTGCCACTTACCCACATGCAAATGGGTGTAACTTCTTAGCAGTCAATGAAGCAGCATCCTTATCATCAATAGAAAGAAGATATGTCCTTCTAGTTATAACTTACTTATGTTTCCTCTGGAAAATCTCCTTCATTTTTATAAATTTTGTAGCACAAATCTCGTGGCTTGATAATGTTTTCCTGCCACTGGATGTAAGTAATCCCATGTATGCTTCACAGAGAATTACATCAATTCAGTGGGTAGAGAATATGATCCATGAAGTTCACCACACCTCTGAGCTAACTCTCTCTAACAACTCTGCTACCTTACCTTAGCATCTGATTTTGAGTAGGGCAAGCAGTCTCTTGGGCCTGCTGAGGAGGGCCGTACATAATAACTGTCTGTATCGAGAAAAGTGGCCCTTTTAGTAGTTAATGAGCAAGCTGAGCTGGGTCTTGGAGGAAGCAATGACTTTGCTCTAAACTTTGAGGCAGGAATCTTTGACAAAGAGGCAGTCTAGTCATGAGAAAACAAAAGAAAACACAACATGAAGCTGGACAAAAGGAAAATACATGCAACACGGACCCAAAAAAAAAAAAAAAAGAAGCCAAGTTATGTCTTAATACTTTTCCTGTGTCTGGTAATGGTGTCTATGCAGTTCTGACATGCATAAAAATTTCAGTTCAGTGTTGCTGGACTTAAACCATTTAGGTCTGGACAGAGTTACTGATTCTAGGAAGTGCCTTTTTCTGCAGATGCTATTTTTGTCCCATGTTAATAGGACAAAACTAGTGCCAGATATGGCATTTAATGGCTACAGCTGCTGCTTGGCTGCATCAGAAGCAAGTGCAAAACTACAGGATCAAGAGATTCTAGTCCCTTAAAACTAAGTTGTGCACTTGAAATGTATCCCTCCACGCTATGGTCAGAAATAAAATAGTGGAAATCTTAAAAGTTACACCAGTATTTCCACAATGGCAGAAGAACAAGACAGTATTGCTTCATGTGCCACTGTGTACACACGCAGTCCCTAGTGCACCCCAAACACTGTATTCTGTGCATCTGATGTTACTCTATAGAAATTCATAAATTTATATTGACAATATGGATTCTTAGGATGAGGAAATCCACCTATGGTTGAAAGACTGACATGATTGTCACTGTGATCAGATAGTTACTCGATTCTGAATAATGGTAATATCCCATTGAAAGAAAAACAGCAGTAGGACAGATTGAAAATTCTTTGTTGACATTTAGGAGCACCTAACTGCTTTGCAAAAAGGAATTTCCTTCAAAATGAATAGGGTAGTTGCTGAAGCAACTTTTTTTTCTCTCATGGGAATGACTGATATTACAAAGAACAATTACAAGGCTGTTATCTTGGCAACATAGTCCTTATTTTCTCTATATTCATACAAGCATGAAGTTACACACAGGAGCAATCCCAAGGGCTTGTAATTACGGGATTTCATACAGAATTTTAGTCATGGAAAATATGAAATTTAAGTCAGTCACCTACACTTTCTCAATGTTCAGAAAAGATGTATGAGTTACTTCTTAAGATGTCTTTACTTGAAAATGAGAAAAGAATGGGTTGTCCAGCCCTGACAGCCAACTGGGCTAGGCTATGTACCCAGCCTACAGAAAACATGATGCTAGTGTGCTGAATGTCATCTATGACACCATCAACATGATTAAGAGTTGCAGAATTGTGTAACAAACCATTCCAGTCCTGAAGACTTCTACTGAACAACACCATCTGTAGCAAGATGAGAAACTAGTTCAAAGGATGAAAGTGTTTTATTAGCAAGAATATATTCCTAGAATGAGTTCTGCAACATATTTATGCCTTTTTTAATATTTATTTCACTGTCTAAGAATAAACAGTGAATAATTATCTTATACAGAAACTGCACAGTATGTGTTTCTGTCACACCAAAGGCTTCTCCAGACTTTGACTGATTTGTCATGGTTCACTTTATGGGTCCCATCCACTTCTGAAACTTTGGGCCATATTTACAAATCCACTCAGGTGTTTATTGATGCTCAGTGGAAGCAGGGTATCTATGTTAAGTGGCTCCAAGAAGCAGACATTCTCAAACACCTTTCACCTGGTTTTCTGAACTTGAGAAATAACTACGCATGCACAGTTTGAGGTCCAAATATTCATTCAGTGGCTTTTTCAACTTGCAGGTCATGCAAAATGTTTACCCTAATGAGACTAGAAAATTCTTACAGATTAAGATTCTAAGCACAATGCAGAGACTTTGTCCTTTTCACTCATTGCATATAGTGTCCTTCATGAATATGTGCACCTAACAGGGATCCTATGAACCTACGAGACTGAGATCTTTCAGTGGAACAGCTGGGGAATAGGCATGACCTTGAGCTAATGCTCTGAAATTATTACAGTCTAGATCGCCCCTGTTATTTAGGGAACAAGGCACTTTTTAGCATCAGTAATAGCAGCGGAATCTGGCCCAAACAGATTTCAGTGACATTCTCAAGGCTGGTGGAGCAAGCAAAGAAACCAAATGTCTCAATCCCTGCCTGTGCTTTACCCAGAAACCTATTCTTATTCTCTGTCAGCAATACATTACATTCGCCCTCTGTTATAATTCATGTTGCTGGAAGTGCCAGCTGCCCACAGGACAAGGATCTGCATAACTCTGACTAAGACTCAGGCACTGCTGAAGTTGGGATGCAGAAACCAGAAACCTCACTTTATTTCAGAGATGTTCCTAACACTTGGCCATTTCTCATCATCTCGTTCTGGCACATACACAGCTTCTTCCAGCAGATGGAACTGCTTAGCCTTTCCTGAACTTGTTCTGCAAACCAGTATGTGAACTGTAGTTTGAAGACGATTAACAAAACTGACCAGGTTGTGTGATCTAACATTACCAGTGGAGAGGAAAAGGCTCATTTTGAATGATGTAAAAGCAGGAAATCAGGAAGAAACACAACAAAAAGGGAAAGGTCTTTATAAAAACAGAGGTGAAGGCAAGGCACAGAAGAGAAAATGTCCAAGAGTGGGAGTGTGGCAAAGAAGGGAGGCAACAGGGAGAGAAAGCTAAATAGGGGACAGGCTTCTCATCTTTGCTATAACATAAGGGACAGGAATAAGAAAAGTGTGTAGAAAGCAGAGAATTTCAGAGAATAATTTTGCAGTGCTTGTACTTAGAACACTCCAAGAACACAGATGACTCTATGGGCTAGTATTGACTTCCTAGGGGATGACCAACACTTAAGAGAAAAGACAGGAATAAACGATACTCTTGACCCAGACCAGAAACCTGTCCAGGTATTTCTTACTGTGCTAGTAAAGCTCTAGCAGTTTCCCATTTATGAACCGAAACAGTTCAGACATGAAAATCCACATGAATCCATGGCTGAATTCAGTCTACATTTCACAACTCCTTCAAAGCCTCCAGTCATCATTAACATCATTAACGATTTCTTACGATTCATAAATAATGTGTAGCACTTTATGAGACAGTGCTTTTTGTTCCCCAAAGAATTGACAATCTGCTTAGACAGATGAAACAAATTAGCCATGGAATATATTAGGAAATTTAGAGAAATACTAAGGAACTTAATTGTTAATGATGGCTAACCATGACAAAGTGTTGTCATGCTGCAGATGTGAATTAGCATGTGTCAGTGTAATGTAAAAATAGTTGCATAAGGAATAGTGAAAGGAGGTTGGTTTCCTGAGGATTTTGGAGGGACTCGGCAGGAAGAGTGTAGAGTCAGCACGGGAGCAAGGTGGAAAGGAGCTGCAGTGTTTTCTGAAGGAAACTCAGCAGAGGAGACTCAGACACAGGGAGCAGGACAGGCTGTAGAGCAGCTGAAGGCAAGGCATGTAACTATCAGGTTGAAACAGAATCGGAAATGGCCACTCTGACACATATAAAATGCTACTGGCCAGTAAATTCTACACAGGCATGATCTCTGCAGAATGCATGGCTACGTAATGGTGCATCAGAAGATATCCAGTGAGTTCTAGGGCTGGGTTCCTGCCTACAAAGCACCCGAGCAAGGTGGCAGTACGAGTTGGGTGCTGCAGAAAGGGCCAAGGTACACACTTTATCTCAGAGGATGACTTGGCTCAAAATACTGAACAATATCCAACTCCTGCAGTTTGGAGTCTGTGTGACCCCTGTGGATCTGCAAACTGTCATCATCTACTATCCGGGACTGTAATTCAGAGGTTATTAGGGAAGGTAGTTTTAATTACCCTTTTAAATGAATAATGAATATGGCAAACGAATTCTAAATACAACGCAAATTTTAAATGGAACACACAATTACACAGAAAGATCTAAAACGAAGACAAAAGAAGATTATAAAGATGAACGAGAAGATGGTTTTACTCACTGATAGTTTTTCCTTTGCTTGCTTAAATACACCAGGAGCCTGGTTTGTTTCACCACCTGCTGCTGAGAAACCCAAAGAAAAACTTGATAGTTTAAAACAATAACAATAAGCATTTCTATTTAGTACACTTGTCAGAACAATTAAATGCCTTGGAACTACTATGCAAAGCAATTTGTGAATTGCTCTCAGTGAACTGTACGCAGAAATGTACCTGCCTTAAAAATGTCATGTATTCATCATACCTGTGGTAAAATAGCATTCTACATGTTTCAAACAAATAAAAATTTTGTATTCATGTTCCTAGAAGTCTAGAAATGACAGTAAAAAGTTCAAGAAGTAGTTGACAGCTCTAAGAGGCTCTAGTTCTGAAGGTGAATCCTTGCACACCTTTACATCCTGATTTTCAGTGCTGTCCTCTAATAATCAGGCTCCCTTAAGTAATCCACAAATGAAAATTTTAAGGGGTTCCTGAAATAACTACTTTTCAAAATATTAGCCAACACTCCTAGTGGAGAGATTCACTGTTGAATTATCATCATAGTTGCATCAACAAGGTCAGTGAGCTGTGGGTCAGCTAAGCCCTCAGACTTTAGTCATTCAAATTATATCTAGGACATCAAGTATGTTAATTCAGTATTTTATTTATCTGATACAACATGGTTCGAGGTAAGATACTTTCCTCCGACTTAGATTCCATCCCTATGACAAGTTTTAGAAGGAGGCTGCTTTTTGGAAAGCAGGACAGTAGTTTCACCCCAACATTGCTGCTTAGGAAGTGATCTGCCACACAAAACCTAGATGTGAAACCTTTTGGCATCTGTGCCAGGATGCCCTTAGTAAATGCAGAAGCAGGACAGCAGTCACAGGTGACAACCTTGTGCTATAAACCCAACTGTCCTTCAACAGTAAAACCAACCTTAAAGCATCATACAGGACAGAACCAATTAATTTTCTCTTTTTCCTGTGCAGCTCTCAGGCAAGGTGAGGAGATCCCTGGTTTTCTTCCACACTTCCCACTCTAGTTCTGCCCTCTTAATATAAACGTATTTTTTTAATTCAAGGAGTAGGCGAGAAAACTTGTGAAGAGGAAAAAGAATATATAACTGTGTAGTTCAGTTTTTCTGAATTTGTAACAGCACAGCCCTCCTGCATCACATTTTATCAAACCTGTTACTGCTGGGTTTTAGTCTGTTTTGCACCTCTTCTAAATAACCACAAATAGTATCTTTCCCCTCTCCCTTGGCATTGGACCCTAACGAGCCACCACTATGAAGTGGAAAGAATAGCTGTGCTCCTTGTTCTGCCTTACCTGAAAGTATCACAACTTCTCCAACTGAACAAAAGATCTCTACAGGCTCTGCTGCCAGTTTAAATACACAACAAACATGTTTTATCTCAGGGGGTGACCCCAGAATTGAAGACAAACAACAGAAGCATTGCACATAGTGACTCCTGCTCATAGCCAGCTAAGGGTCCTGGCCTTGCCACTGTGAACACTCCTCTGATGGCACAACTGCAGCATCATCACAGAGCTGCTAACAAAACGCAAGTCAGCTTGAGGGTTCATCCACGGAACTACACCAGTCAAGGCAAAGACTTCACAACTCTTTCCTCTGAGCTGGCCATGCCATTTCTTTTTCAAATGGGAAGGATAAATCTCTCAAAAAGCAACCCCTACCTTGTTGATAGGGCACTGTAAGTTTCCAGTATTTGACAGTGCTTACCAGTAACATGGGATTTTTTTTTTTTTTTCTGGTATTGAGGGGAAATAGGGGAAAGAAGTAATTTCTCAGGCCACTACACAGGAAATATGATAGACAACTTGTATCTTATAACTGGACATGCTTTGTTTTAAATAAATAAATAAATGCAACACGGAGGTTTTAACTGACTTAAATACACTCAAAGCTACATAGACTACACTGCTGAGGGACTTTTGGTGGGGCTCCAATAGGCAGTTACCACTAAAGCTGACAAGACCACTCCAAATAGGACATATTCAGAGCCAAAACTGGCTTCAAGAAATGGTGCTATATTTTACGTAAAAGGAAAATGGAAGAGAGACAGTGTGCCTCTAAATTCCAGATCCTGGAAAGAGCTGGATGACTGGATCAAGCTCAGGGATATGTAGGTTAACATAAGGCCACCTACACTCCCAGGATATCACACAGCACTTTCTCATGGCCTCCCCTCAAGTCCTATCAGTAACTATAAAAACGTGAGGTAGAAAAACTAAGGGATATTGTGAACTTTCCAGCAACACTGACTATGGTAAAACATTCCAACAAAAATTCGTGTTCACTCTGTGGTGTGGTTCAAGCTCCTCTGCTTTAGAGCTCAAACCTCCAAGTTCAATCCACATTACTGAAAATTCTGTGGTCAGTCTGGGTCCATCGTTTTGGTTGCTTTCCATCTCAGAATTTAAATGTACTGGGAGGTCATTTTTCTATTCCATTTCTTATTTTGACTAGTACATCTGCTTCACTATGTATTGGAGTGTGAGAGAAAAATCTCTGACAGTTGCCAGGCAGCACACAGTTAAGGGACCATGCAGATTTCTTTATGCAACTCTATTGGTATGACTCAGGCCTCTCTGGAACACTATGGGCCAGAGGAGTGCAGAGGAATTAGTGGTAGAGTACCTGAGGGCAAGGCAGGGCTGACCAGAGGGCTCTAGAAGTGCAGATGAAGTTGAGACCACTACAAAGCCGACACTTTTTTCCCCCATTTCCACTGTTTATTGAACCCCACTGGGTCTTTTGAAAAAATGTGTGAATTATGGGCCATGACTTCTGAGCTGACCAAGCTCTGCTTCAGCAAACAGCAAGAGGTAACAAGGAGTTTCTTTAATCCTTTGTTAAAATTCCTCACTCTTGAGTAGTTCTGGCCCAGGCTGCAAGTGAAGGAAGCCCCTGTGAGGAGCCATCACTGCAAAACAGAGGGGCCTGGATCAGCCTTTCCTTCCCTGGCTCCATTTCTCATGATGGAGGGAAGTAAAAGGACCAGATTCCCTCATAGGAGCAAGGTGATGGGACTATTTAGTTCCGTTGTCCTAATGGAACACAGCCAGGAGACAACACACACTTCATACAGTTGAGGCACGATATTAAGCTACCTTCACATAACTATATTTTAATGTATTTTCACTAGTCAGACTTCTATACCAAGACTGTTCTAAATGTAGAACAGGAGTGACTCATTGTGCAAAACCGGATGGGAACAATGTTTTAGGAATACTTCTGTTACTGCACTGTTTACCTATAGGATGGGAGGTAAATCCTGTTCTTAATTTCTAAGCTGTGAGAAGATGCCTATGTAGTTCAGCAATGCTGTGCACAGTGGTTCTCTTAGTAGCCCTAGTTTCACTCATGAACAACTGCACTGCAGCATGTGGCTATGTTACATGACAGAAAACCTGGCCTCTTTTAGCAAATTTTTTTTTTTAAGATCACCAGTAAAGTCAAGATATTAATCTCTCCATCCTGAACTCATAGGAACAACGAATATGATGAAAATACTGAAAGTGTTCTTTTGGGTTCTCTAAATAATGATACGCCTATCAAGATATAACAAGAGTCATTTTTTTCATCATTTCATCTTCCTCTACCAAATATTAAGATTTCTGCTTGGAATGCATTTGCAGTGTGAGCCCAGATTTCTTCTCTCTCAGCTTCATGCTGCATGTGTCTGGATTCCCCCTGTGGATTTTGACTGTACAGCATAAACATCAGTGACAGATTGGGAAGTGTTAATGCAGATAACATCAATCAACAAAATATAAGTCTGAAACACTTCTTATTATGCATGAGAGTAAAAAAAAAAGCAAAATAATGGAAATGCATACCATGGTTTAAGCTGTCAACATTTTCCCACCAGGAAAAAAAAAAAGCTTAATTAAAAAAAAAAAAAGAACAAAATGATGACTAGAGATTCCTACCACACCACACTCTAAGCACGATGCCAAGTTACGACCACAGCACTTGGAAGTCCAAGCAATGAAAAGCATACATGATCATGGCCTCCATTAAATAAAAAAGAACAAATACCAGGAAAGAAAGAAAAGAAAAATGGTACAAAACGCTAAAGAAGCATTACTATTTGTGAAGACTGATATTCTTGGAGAAAAAAAAAAAATAGAGAAGCTGCTATAGCCATGAGATTTACCAAAAAAAAAAGTTTGTTTGCCAGCCACATTGCATAACTGAACAGAACGCAGTCACCTGTCTGCTTCCGTTTAACACAGGAGAGATGAGTTGGTCTAGTATATTTGATAGCAGGTTTTAAAATGATTTTCCTGGAGGGAGAGTGGGCCTGAACTTCAGTTTTTTTAGCAAGTTCAGCTTTCTTATACACTGCTACGGACAAAAGAAACAAAAACACAGAATCAGGATAAAAAACAGCGACACTTTCATATGACAATACATCAAGTGGCAGGCCCACTGCTCCACAACTCCAACCCGATAGGCTGCTTCTACTGGGGGGAACAAATCCTAAGTCAGAAGAGAGGGAGCCCTGGTGCATTAACGTCAGGCGTGTCATTACCCAGTGATCAGGTGGGAAACCTACGATGAAGCGGGTCCGGTGGAGCAGTGAGCCTTGCACATGGCTTTTCATACAGTTGTACAACGTCTCATTAAAAAGCTTTACCATTAATAGTTAAGGTGCACATCATCTACAACAGAGTAACTGGATAGCACCGTACAATAGTAACAACAACAACAAAAATGTAATAGGGAGTGTTAAATGAACCTTTTTTCCTTCTCACTTCATCTCTGGAGAGTGTGCTAGGTTCCTTTTTAGCTATTTTCCTCTCAGGAGTAGAAATCCTGCCTCTCCCAGTTTTAAAAGGTTTCTCTTTTTTATGCTTATCAAGAGATGATCTTCGCAATTCTCTCTCTGCCTTCTCCTCTTTAGGAACAGTCTCTAACTGTTCAGTCATGATGCTCCTATCATCATCTGTAGGATCAGAGCAAATTATAATAATAAACAAAAGATTAGTAACAAATGTTAACAATACTGCCACAGAGCAGGGAAAAAATAGTTGAAGATAGAGCAGGCGGAT